ATAATTTATATATAATACTAAACAGACGATAGCAAACTCAATTTAGCCGCTCCGTAGCGTGGCGCAGGGTCGGAGGAAAGTAGTTCGGCTGCTCATCCACTATTGGTCCAGACTCTATCAATCTTGTCGCGAAACGACGTTATAGGAGGTACGTTATACGAAAGTTGCTACAATTTTTTCGCTACGTTATAGGAATTGTCGTTATAGGAACGTACGTTATAGGGGGGTCGACTGTATGTGTTTTGTATGTGTCCTTAACATGGGAGAGGAGGAAATCCCAGAGAGAGCAGAAACAAGGCTCAATGTGGATAAAGGGTTATAATGATTGGAAGTCAAAGACCATGAAGTGAAGGGCGTCCTGGATATTAAGTTCCTTGAAGCGACTTATTAATTCCAAAGAGTTAGCAATGGAGTGTGGATTTGGAAGGAGGCAGTCCATGATGAAGGTCTTGATCTTCTTTTCAAGTTGTATGATAGGTGATGACTCTTTGTTCATAATAGGACATTGTTGGTTGCCAGATTTGTGGCAAAGGCATAGATACATGGGGTGGCTGGGGCAGTGACAACGGCATGGCGGAGTTGGAATATATTTGTCAGGGGAGTGTTGGTGAGCTGAACAACTCTAGCCTGTAACTTACTAAGGTAGTTATTGGGGGTAACAGAGCATCTAGTGTCCTGGATACAGAAGTAATAATAAATAGTCATAAATGAATTGCAAACCAATAGAAAGCAGTGGCGTGCCATGACATTTGTTGATAGGGAAGCTGTGTTTCTGTAAGAAGCCGACATCCAGAGGCAATCAGTCAATTGCATGTCAGTGATGGTCTAGGGTCCATTCATATCGTTTATTCGATAAGCCAGTAAAAACCGTAGACTTTTCTAAGTGTATTTTTAATATCACAATTACATTTTGAATCGCTAGCCACGATATAAGGGCTACAATTAAAAATAAAATAATAAAAACTTACTTGGTGAAATAAAATGTGTGGTGGATGTACTGGTACATACCTGGTACAAAATATTCTACAATTGTATGAATATACTTTTAAAGAAAATTATAATTAAATATAGCTTTGTAAAGAAACGTACATAAAAATATAAAATATTCTTTACTTTTTAAATCTTAAAACAATGCACTTAGTCAAATAGCTCCCTACGAGTGGCTAATGGATGGAATCGAAGACGGTTGCAGAGCGTGCATACACGCGGACTGCCAAATCCCCAGGGTGCCGATACCGGTCAATGTCAAATACCTCTTTTGTCGCATCACTAGTATATCTCAAAGGACGCGACAGGGCTGTTGTAGATTTTAAACGTTTCTCACCATAGCTGTAAAAATCTAAATATGTTAAACTTAAAAGTCATTTGTTTTCTAACAAGTTCATTTTAGGACCAAGTGTCTTCAGAAATTTCCAAAATTTACAACTTTTCGGTCACTCTCGTTGAATTGGAAAAATTTCTGTCTTTATTACATTAATAATAGGAAGAAATCAGTCTCCACTGTACTTGGCTAGAGATGGTTCGGTTAAGCTTTTGTTTAAGTAAAATTTCAGCTCTCATCAGGGTTTTGTTCATATCCCCAATTCCCTAATCACTTAATTATTTTCAAACAAACATTTTCAGCCTGTGAATCAGGCTAAAAATGTTTGTTTGAAATAAATTATATTTCTCGGCAAGGATAAGGTGTTAGTTATATGTATAGTGATTTGCTGAGTACTTTATGATATTACAAACTGTACACTTGACACAACATTACATATTTAAGTCATATATGCTACATTTCTTATAAACTGTTTTTAACTCAACAGATCACAAAATTAAAGTAGAGAAATTGCAATAGGAATGTTCAAACCCAAAGATAAGCTTAAAGATCTACAGTACACTTATTTTCTAAAAATTCTTGTCATGCCCTTACAGTATGTTCAAAATAAAAGGTATTGTTTTAACCAAAGTAAGTTTTGAAGAAAAGGTCAATTTAGTATGAATTTTCTAAGAATTCTTATAATTCATATCCATTGTTCCCAAAGGTAATTATCATAATTCATAACAATAGCCTAAGTTTGATTATAATATGTGGATTATTTTTAATTAATTTTATAGGGTATTTTGGGACCAACTGATTATGGTAACAATAGCCAATTGATAACTATATCTATGATTATAATAACAGGATTCCACTATTTAAAAAAATATATATAAATATATATATTTTTTAAAAAAAACCTTATTTGTACTATTAATTATTTTATCACTGTAATAAACAGCAGCTTTGTGATGAAAGATCAAATTTCTGATGTTTAAAAGTCTATGGTATGAATTTTCAATATGGCATTGTCATGTGTTATTTTTGGTTCTCTAATATATTTATTATTTAGAAAAAAATAATTTGAAAAAACCTTGAGTTGTTCCAACATTAGTGGATACAACACTACATAAGTGATTGAAGTCAACAAAAGAAAAGGAAACATTGAACTAAGGACAGTCAAATTAAATTCTGGAATAATATAAAGAGATTTTTTAGGCTCCTTACATAAATGAATTTTTTCCTAAATAAAGTGAAATGTTATTTCTTAATAAATTATTTTTGAGCATGGTTGAGTTTATAATATTTTACTAAAAAATTTATGAAGATGTGAAATAATAGCCTGATTACTAAAGATCATCAACAATTATTATTAATACATCAGGCTCGGTGATGTTTATATATGAAATTGCAACACCATGAAGGAATACACTTAGCCATGTGAAAACTGTAGGACCATTAGAAGCGAAGGGAATATGCAAATTATTAAGTTTTCCTATACATTGGCCATGTGGTACCCAGTTTTGGGCTATAAAGACTAGCAGTTAGCTTGGGCCATAAATGCTATTAGCAACTGTTTGTGGCAACCAAACTTTTGAAGAAGCATCAAAAATGCCTTGGAGACAACAGTAAGCTGAATACTAGTTAACAGTTTGAGAACAAGATCTTATCCTGGAGCTGCACAACCTCAGTTTGTAGATGTTGTGCTCAACATACATTGCCATGTATGTTGGGCACAACGTAAGTATCATCCATCAATGTGTGGCATAATGGATGGATGCAAGAACATCTGTGAACATGCCAAAGAGAAAGCAGATTTTATCAGCGCATGGCAGAGCACACAGACTGGCAGATTTGCTGAACCACCCATCAGATCCTGTTCACCAAGGCATATGATATCTAAAGCCACTTGTTGCTGTCAATGGGTGTGTCCACCCAAGACAATTGCAACAGGTTGCATGAAGTCAGGCTGCATGCATGCAATCAGCAACGGGGATGCCATTAACCATATGACACGGGGCTGCTTGTTGGCTTGGTGGTGTTGTCATTGCAAGTGGACCACTGAATGGCATCATGTATTGTTTATGGATGAATCCGACTTCTGTCTGTGGAGTAATGATGGCCTTGGATGGGTATGTTGATATCCTGGGGAAAGCTATGTGCCAGCCCTTTTTACTGAGTGTCACACTGGGCATCATGTTCAATCAGTGGCTAGCCCTGGTGCACATTTTTAGTACTCTGACAGTGGACCAGTATGTCACACGAATTGTGGTGCCTGTGGTTTAGCCACTGATGTAGGCCACACCCAACACAGTATTCTAGCAAGACTTTGCCTGACTGCACTTTGCATGGGGAACTCACCATTCTGAATGGAATTCACATCCTTTCCTGGCCAGCAGCTTTGCTGGATCTCTCCTTCATCAAACACCTGTAAGACCTTGTCCGATGTGACGTGCACAGGGAACCATTGCTATACATCATAGATGGTATACCTATACATAGATGGTATACATATGCACACAGTGGATGCAGCTTGCCAAGGAATACTTCAGGCAATCATTAATTGTCTCATCTTGCCTTATAGCATCCTGTATAGCTGGGGCTGTATTTGTTATTGAATAAACAAGTGTCAGTTGCATATCTTTGTTCTTTTAATGATTTGCAAATCTCTGTCTGTCTGGTTGTTTAGTTATGGCAATGCAACACTTGGGCGATTTGCCTAGGAGGGGATGCCTTCTGGGAGGACATTTTAAGGAAACTAGCCCCTGTTTAGGCATTACAGACATGGAGAAAACCCAGAAAACTCCATGTGGCCAGCCCGTCCAAGCAAGGCACGAACCCACAACTGAACTCCCAGTGTTCAGGGTACAAAGACCACTTGGCCACTGGTGGGCCTTTTTTATGTCACCTTACCAGTTTGCAATGTACATATGACTGCATGCATTCCTTTGTGGTGTTGCAATTTAATTTTTGAGGAGTGTATTTCCATATACAATAACAAATAAAATTACATATTTTTATAACAATAACTACAGTATATTGAGTTTTTTAAATTTTTATTTCTTATTTTAAACTTTTTGTTTTTTAGGTTAGGATTCATAATAGTATCATTGAGTTAAATGTTCAGTTTGGTTCAATGCCAGTTTTACAAGTTATTGGGAATGAAATTCTTAACGATAATCAATGGCATCAAATTTCTGTATCCCTAGAAAAAAAGTAAGATTTCTCATTGATTCTATCTAATTTTTAATTTTTAAAAACGTTTAATATTAAAATTTATACAGGGTGGCCCATTTCAATCAGTCCACTGGAATAACTGGGAAAATACACATTCCACATAAAAAACATTGAAGCAAAAATGTTAGACTTTAAGGGTCCACAGAATGGGAATATCAGTTTTATTATAGATGGCACTACAATTGGTGAAAATGGGATAAACTTCATTTTTAAAAACAGGAACCCATACTTTTATTACATATTATGATCCTATATGGAAAAACAAACTTTTATCTGAAACATTTTTTCAAAAGATGCACTTACCAGATAACTCATACTTCAAAACAAAAACCTTTAAAATGCAGCCTTTTTATTTGTATTTCAAACGTTTTCGGCCATTTTGGTCTTTTCAGGAACAGAAAAATCGAATGATTCTACTTTTACTTTCTATAACAAACTTTCTTTTGGAACATTTAAACGTTTGAATTTTCTTATCTAGCGTGCATGCTCGTACAAAATGAAAAACAATTTGTCTACTGTAAGTCCCTTTTTTTGTACTAAAATTATCATATTATTAGCTCACTCTCCACGTTGCTGAGACTTTACTCGACTCTTTGTAGTTTATCACTAATCCTTCCTGGTTTGTCTTATGTATTTGTCATGCTTCAATGTATTTTAGGTGTCTCTTGTCCTGGATCTTTTGTATTATTTTTGCTCTTTTCCAATCTACTATGACTCCTGTTGGATCTGCTATAACATGCATTGCTAGTGTTGTTACTGGCTGCTCATTCTGTATGTTCCTTTTATGCTCTTTTAGCCTTTCTTTCAATGACCTCCCTGTGGCTCCGATGTAGTACAGCTCTTTTTGTCATCTTTAGTCTTGTACCGGTATTCTATAAACTCCTGGTATCAGGTTCTGGTCTATGTCTTGCTTGTCTGTACACAGCATTTGGTATATTGTTGGATTCCTTTTAAAAATTATCTTTTTGTTTGTTGCTGCTCCTATTTCTTTGTAAATTTTGCTTAGGGGTGCCATGTATTCCAACATAGTGTATTCTTCACTTCTTTCTTGCTCATAACCTTTGTTATCATGTATTCTTGTTTTGTTAATAATGGCCTTTATCGTATTCTGGCTGACACCACACTGCCTAGCTCAGGGGTGGCCAACAGTTTTTGCCCCCAGGCCGAATTGGAAAGAAAACTTTTTCCACGGGCCGAACCAGAGGCTGCTCTAGGAAGATTTTGAGGTAGTGAGAGATCTCGTTGTGGTATCACCCTGTAGAGACTGAATTGTGGATAGAGATTACAGATACATTATTCACATTATCGTGGTTTATCAACACCCTATGCTGTATTTATGAGATTTGTAATGGAGGGTTAACTCTAAACGTGCAGTGAGTTGGTGACATTTTTTTTTTTTTTTTAGTAGGCATCAGAATTTTTCATCAAGCTATTCGGACTTCCAAACCTAATATTGAAAGATTTATCACGGGTTACATAAATTCATTAGATGGGCCAGATCTGGCCCACGAGCCGTATGTTGGCCATGCCTGGCCTAGCTAGTTCTTTGATGTGATCTAATTTTCTAATTCTGTCTTGAGGTTTGTTGCAGTGCATATATGCTCTCTTTATAATAAGCACCCAGAACAATGCTATTTTATAGCTTGCGGGGTTGTGGGAGGTCCATGATATTAACAGTGGGTTATAAGTCGGCTTTCTGTAAACTTTTGTAGTGGTTTCTCCTTCATTCTCTACTTCTATTGCTATGTCTAGGAAATGTGCAGTTTTATTGTTCTCTTGCTCTGGTTCAAGCTCTAGGCCGAATTGGTTGGAATTAGTGTCTCTGATAAAGTGTTGAATGTCTGAATTTTCTTCTCAGATAATCAAGGTGTTGTCAACATATCGTGCATATATACTAGCATGTGTACTGCGTATTTCGGTAAAATTACTTTCTCTAAAGACCTTAGGACCATCTAGCATAATGCACCTGAAACAGCACTTCCCATTGCCACTCCTATGTGTTGTGTGTAAGATCAAACTAAAGCCATGCTTTTGCCATCTAAGAGACTTTCTAATGAGCAAGATTGGAAATTCAGAAAACATGAAAAAACAGATACTGGAATTGACACATCTTGTTACATATTCATCGATCTTTAACTTTAATGGAATAACTTACAGTAGCTTTTCTCTTTATGGTGTCATCATCAGGAAGGCATTTGCCTGAAAGATGTTGTTTAAGGAGACAAAGCAAATGGAAATCACTAGGAACAAGATTGGGACTTTAGGGAGAATCTCCAGGACTTCCTATTTCAACTTTCTTAGAGTCTCTTTAGTCCTAATGAACAATATAAGAATGTGCATTGTCATGCAACAATGACAGGTCTTTTATAAAAAGTCTTTATGCCAAATGGCAGCACAAAGTTTTTTTTGAGAATGTTGGTGTAGTATTTGGCCATTGTGATCTTTTTCTCAGTCTAGAATACAGTAAGCTGTACGCTTTGGCAATTCCAGAGGACTGTTTCCAGCCAAAGGTGTTATTTTAAACTTTTTGCTCACTGGTGACACAGAATACTTCATTGCATTGATGCATGCTTTTATCTCAGGTTCATAATAATTATCTAGCACTTACCACCAGTGACAATCCAGGCTAACATGTTTTTCCCTTTATCCTAGTAGTGCATGAGATGTGGCAATGTCAGCCCATTCTCTGGCTTTTGTCTTGTGGTTTCATCTCGCACAGCACCCATCATGAACAGATTTTTCAATAACCTAATCTTTCATGAATAATGTCATAGACATAATCCTTGTGAACAAGAAATGGCAGTAGTTATGACATCAATTCATACCCTTCTATTTGTACAGATAAAGTTCTCAACTTGCTTAGTGTTCATTTTTTGATACTTATCTGACTTTCAGAGAATTTCTGTACTCAATTGTGGAAAGCTTGCCATGACAGGCAATTTTCGTGATAGTAGGATGGAGAAATCACTGCATTCTGCGTTATATGTGCGTTTTATTACAAGTACTTTCAACAAATTTATATTCATCATCGCCAGGCAAATACAGAAAATTAATAAGAATGAATAGAAATATTTTGAGGAAAAAGAACAGAACACATTATTCAAATTAAAACATTTGATAACACCATTAAGTACAAGCAACAAATATTCAAACGTGTTCAAAATTGAACGAGCAGTGAAATACGTAATATGCAAAGCCGCGCATGCATGGATGCAGGCCCACATCATAAATATGATGGAGGATAAGGATAGTTATTTAACATCCTCCAGGTGTTCCACAAGGTGGCTAGCAAGCATTCTTGTTGTGGCCCCAATGTACTTTGTGTTTATTCCCATTGCAAGATTCTCCAGTGGTACAGAATATCAGGAGTCTATGCTGTACCACTGGAGAATCTTGCAACAGGAATAAACACAAAGTACATTGAGTACTCAACAAGAATGCCTAGCCGCCTTGCAGAACACCAGGAGGATGTTGTGAACGGAAGGCACGCCACAGAACTTACAAAAAAGGTGCTTACACAAGGTTACAACTCGCTATGGTCCCAAGCAATTATGCTCAAGTGCTGCAAAAATCGAAAACTCGTTTTTATATGGGAGTCCCTTCTTACTACAACCTTAGACATAGGCAACACTCCTACTCCTGACCTGCCCAGTGTATTGGTCATGCTGTATAAGCAGTTAAACAACTATCCTTATCCTCCATCATATTTATAACATGGTCCTGCATCCACACATGTGCCGCTTTGCATATTACATATCTCACTATTCATTCAATTTTGAACACATTTGAATATTTGTTGATTGTTTTTAATGGTGTTATCAAATGTTTTAATTTAAATAATGTGTGTTCTGTCTTCTTCCTCAGAATATTTCTGTTTGTTCTTATTAATTTTTTGTATTCACCTGATGACAATGAATATAAATTCATTGAAAGTACTTGCGATGAAACACATGTATAATGCTGAACTCAGTGATTTCTTCGTCCTACTATACAATATTTGGCATAAATATCAATCTATAGAATATTAATTTACATGGGTTGCAGTTGTTTGTAGATATTCTTTGTTGCCATCCCTTTGACCCAGAAAAATCATACAACAGTGCACTGCTCAATAATGGTACTTTTGTTAAGAGGTATCACAATCATGCAATATCTGCTGTTGCTTTTCCTTTTTGCACATGTCAGCAATCTTGCAACACCTGGATAATTGTGCAGTCTAATAGTGATAACTTCTGGCACTTAATCGAAAAATATGTATTGCTAACATCATTTGTAACTTACTGAATGTCTCTCTTGTAAAAAAAGTCATTAGAAAACTATTATTATTTGGCAGAATCATTCTTTTTCTTCAAGTAATGAACTGATACAAAACATTGTACTCCAGCTTGAGGTCATCTTAAATTTATTGGATACATTTTTCATTTTAATTAAATCTTTAATAGAATGCTTAATTAACATTTTGCTCATCAAAGTTTTCTCCTATGGTAAATTGGGAAATATTGAATAAATTTATTATTCAATATAAATATTGAATAAATAAATTTATGACCCAAGCTGGGATGAGTTTCTGTATCAGTTCATTATTTGAAGAATAGAATGATTCTGCCAAATAATAATAATATCCTAATGATCTTTTAGTATTCCTCCTCTTCTCCTTTCCTTTCCTCAATGAACTTTACAGATAACAACAGACTTGTGCATGTGCAGCGTGGTACCAATATAAAAGTTAAATGCTCATAACTTCTGATAAGTGTGTTTTGATAAAAGGTTTCAGATAAAACTTTGTTTGTTTTTATGTAGAATCATAATACGCAATAAAAAGTAGGGATTCCATTTAAGAAAACAAAGATGACCTTAAATCAATGGACATAAAAGCTTAGATACCAGCAAAATTTGACTTACTATTCTCACAAACATTTTCATTCATATTAACATGGACATGTGAATAGTAAGTCAAATTTTGCTGGTATCTTTTCAGGCTTTTGTATCTATTGATTTAATACATTTTAACCAGCATTCAGCTATTGTCAAAAGTTGATCTTATTTTCACTGAGTGTAGCACTATCTACAACAAAAGAGATAGTCTCCATCCTGTGGTTTCCTTGAACTCTAACAGTTTTGGTTCAATGATTTTTTTGTAGGGTACATAGTTTTTGAGTAATTTAGTGGATTTATTTAAAATGGACCACTCTGTATATTATATAAATTTTAAATATTGCACATTAATCACATTGTATACATTAGATTATGTTAATTTTTTTAGTATAATGAAATTGAAGGTGAACCAAAAGAGTATTACTACTCATCAATATTTATCTGAAGTGGAATTATATGAACCTTTCACTTTTGGTTCAAATTCTCAAGGTCATACAGGTAATATTTTTTAAGTGTTATGTTGAGAATATTAAATTACATAATTATTTAAGTCAAGAAAAGAGAATAATATAAACTTTAAGTATTAGTTTTATCCCTGATAAATATCTCAAAAGTAGATATTGTTTTTTCTTGACCACTTAATCCTACTCAGCCTCTTATGCAAAATATTAGATACATCCAACACACCTTATTGCTGAGAAACATATATTTATTACACCAAACTAACGTTTTCGGCTCCATTTATGGGCCATCTTCAGGTTTACTGTTGTTCGATTCTAATATACAACCGAACACGTTCAAAATTAAACCAAATTAGAACATGCGTTTAAATTTAACCAATAGAATAAGCATAACCAAACTAAAACAATAAATAAAATACCAAACTAACAGAAAAATGAAAAATGAAAAATAAAAATATAAAAAATAAAATACGGTGTTAAGCCGCAAACAATAAGGAACAATTCCTAATACATTAACCCAGATATCTATTGGGTCACTGTAGACGCATTATTACTCGTGTTACTTCTTACTATATATTTCCAGGATGACGGTAATACCGTCGCATCTTTATAATTTAAACATCTGTCAGCCAAACTCGCTCTGTAAATTTCACATTTCTCAGTTATGGATGACAACGTTGGCGAGCGTACTTTTGTAAGAATTTTGGCATCCTCCCATTTAACAATCGAACCATCCGCTTGCGCCATTTTGGATAATGCTGTTGTACACTTGTTTTTTGCGACATCGTATCGGTGCTCCTTAATTCTCACCCTAAGGTTTCTATTAGTGACCCCAACATAGTCCTTATCGATTCCCAACTGGTCATTTTTGTAGGGAATTGCATAAACTCCTGCCTGTTCGTTATCATCAATTCTTTCTTTGTCATTTCTAATCAACCTATACACTGTGGGGGCCCTTTTATATATTATACTGGCGTTTTTGTGCCTCGCTATTTGCTTCATAATCGGGAAGAGACATTTATTATAGGTAAACCTTGCGAAGTTACCCCCAGCTTCCGGTTTCTTCTTAGAGCTGCTCTTAGGTTTTACGTACGCTTCTATTAAACGTTCTATAGATCTTACTCCAAACCCTAACTCCTTTGCAACTTTTTTGATCCTACACAACTCATTCATGGTGTCTATTACATTTGAGCAATAGAGAAACGCTCTTCTGATTAGCGCTCTAAATGCGGACAGCTTATAAACCGTTGGGTCATTAGAATTTGCCGGAATATACATAGGATCATGCGTGGGCTTAATGTAGATCTTCGTACATAAAGCTCCATTCTTAAATTCAATGCTGACGTCCAGGAAGTGCAGCTCCTTGTTACTAATTTGCTCCAGGTTAAGTTTTAAGCCATGTTGGTTAGAGTTCACTTGGCATAAGAATCGTTTTATCATTGCGTCATTCTTCCAAATAATTAGAACATCATCTACATATCTTTTGTACATGATTATGTACTCATTATAGTTGATAAGCGTCATGCTTTCTAATTTTTTCAGCACCAACTCACAGAGTAGGCCAGACATCGGGCTGCCCATCGGGACTCCCCTTAACTGCTTATAAACTTTACCTTGGAAAATGAAAAACGACTGAAAGCATATCAGATCAACCATTATCTCTAAATCTTTCTTGTGTTCGTATGCTTTTGGTTGTAACTCACATAACAGGTTCACTAATTCCTGAAAACACGAGGTAAGATTTATTGATGGAAACATACTTTCGAAATCCATAACTGTCCCAATCTCATTGTCCATTAACGACAGATCCTGCAGGTCTTTAACCAAACTAAACGGGTCCTTTGTAACAAATTGGTAGTTTTCAATTAGTTGTGTTAAATGCCTATGCATACGTTTTTCCAGAATGTATGTTGGTCCTTTACACTTCTCTACTACCGGTCTGATCTCTTTACTGTTTTTATGTGTCTTTGCGAACCCAAACAACCTAGGTACACTTGGGCAGGTGATGTGGGCTCCTTTTAGGAAAGGGAATAACGATGCTATGGGCGATTTTTCCAATCTTCTTAGTTTTCTGTCAACTCTTTCAACAATGCCTCGGTCTACCTCTTCACACTCCGTTTTCTTTATATAGTCATCCAGGGCTTCAATGTACCTTTGTTTCTTCATTAGGACCAAATGTTTACTCTTATCTGCCCTAGTGACCACTATATCATTGTGATTCAACCATTTTTTAGCTTGGTTGATGCTCAATTCTTTACCTTGCCTCATAGAGTGTTTTTCAGTTTTGAATGCCGTCTTCCATCTGTAATAGTCCTTATCAACCTCACACATACCTACGATTCCTCTTTCTACTTCCGCTACTACGCCCCTCCAGTTCCTAGTGTTGTCAGGAGCATAATTAGGACCTTTTTCCAGAACTTGTTTGACACATTGCGGGAGTTGAATCTGATCCCATAATATATACGGGGTTGGCTTCAAAATGCTCTTAAGCTTGGACGGCTGCTTTTTCGAAATCCACAGCAGTTTCTTCATGTATTTCTTCTTTAAACTAATGCTTAACCGGTCCGTTAACCCAACTACTCTTAAATTGATACTCGCCAAGATATCTGGGTTCTTTTCGAATATGTCATCTTCCAGGTCCACTATTTCTTTAATGGTTCTGTACTTTAAATTCTTTACTCGTTTAATTGAATTATTTAAGCATAGCAGTTTTACTCTTTCCCGTATTGATATACATTCATTAGGTAACTTAATTCTAAAAATGGACATTGGATAAACTTTTCTTACTCGACATTCTTTCAAGAATTGTAATCTGGAGTTCATCTTCACAATTTTTACTGCTAGTTTTCTATAACTTCTATATAGACAGGCCGGTGACGCCATAATTAACCACTTAATCCGACTCAGCCTCTTATGCAAAATATTAGATACATCCAACACACCTTATTGCTGAGAAACATATATTTATTACACCAAACTAACGTTTTCGGCTCCATTTATGGGCCATCTTCAGGTTTACTGTTGTTCGATTCTAATATACAACCGAACACGTTCAAAATTAAACCAAATTAGAACATGCGTTTAAATTTAACCAATAGAATAAGCATAACCAAACTAAAACAATAAATAAAATACCAAACTAACAGAAAAATGAAAAATAAAAAATAAAAATATAAAAAATAAAATACGGTGTTAAGCCGCAAACAATAAGGAACAATTCCTAATACATTAACCCAGATATCTATTGAGTCACTGTAGACGCATTATTACTCGTGTTACTTCTTACTATATATTTCCAGGATGACGGTAATACCGTCGCATCTTTATAATTTAAACATCTGTCAGCCAAACTCGCTCTGTAAATTTCACATTTCTCAGTTATGGATGACAACGTTGGCGAGCGTACTTTTGTAAGAATTTTGGCATCCTCCCATTTAACAATCGAACCATCCGCTTGCGCCATTTTGGATAATGCTGTTGTACACTTGTTTTTTGCGACATCGTATCGGTGCTCCTTAATTCTCACCCTAAGGTTTCTATTAGTGACCCCAACATAGTCCTTATCGATTCCCAACTGGTCATTTTTGTAGGGAATTGCATAAACTCCTGCCTGTTCGTTATCATCAATTCTTTCTTTGTCATTTCTAATCAACCTATACACTGTGGGGGCCCTTTTATATATTATACTGGCGTTTTTGTGCCTCGCTATTTGCTTCATAATCGGGAAGAGACATTTATTATAGGTAAACCTTGCGAAGTTACCCCCAGCTTATATATGTTTCTCAGCAATAAGGTGTGTTGGATGTATCTAATATTTTGCATAAGAGGCTGAGTAGGATTAAGTGGTTAATTATGGCGTCACCGGCCTGTCTATATAGAAGTTATAGAAAACTAGCAGTAATAAGAAACCGGAAGCTGGGGGTAACTTCGCAAGGTTTACCTATAATAAATGTCTCTTCCCGATTATGAAGCAAATAGCGAGGCACAAAAACGCCAGTATAATATATAAAAGGGCCCCCACAGTGTATAGGTTGATTAGAAATGACAAAGAAAGAATTGATGATAACGAACAGGCAGGAGTTTATGCAATTCCCTACAAAAATGACCAGTTGGGAATCGATAAGGACTATGTTGGGGTCACTAATAGAAACCTTAGGGTGAGAATTAAGGAGCACCGATACGATGTCGCAAAAAACAAGTGTACAACAGCATTATCCAAAATGGCGCAAGCGGATGGTTCGATTGTTAAATGGGAGGATGCCAAAATTCTTACAAAAGTACGCTCGCCAACGTTGTCATCCATAACTGAGAAATGTGAAATTTACAGAGCGAGTTTGGCTGACAGATGTTTAAATTATAAAGATGCGACGGTATTACCGTCATCCTGGAAATATATAGTAAGAAGTAACACGAGTAATAATGCGTCTACAGTGACCCAATAGATATCTGGGTTAATGTATTAGGAATTGTTCCTTATTGTTTGCGGCTTAACACCGTATTTTATTTTTTATATTTTTATTTTTTATTTTTCATTTTTCTGTTAGTTTGGTATTTTATTTATTGTTTTAGTTTGGTTATGCTTATTCTATTGGTTAAATTTAAACGCATGTTCTAATTTGGTTTAATTTTGAACGTGTTCGGTTGTATATTAGAATCGAACAACAGTAAACCTGAAGATGGCCCATAAATGGAGCCGAAAACGTTAGTTTGGTGTAATAAATATATGTTTCTCAGCAATAAGGTGTGTTGGATGTATCTAATGTTTTTTCTTGATTCTAAGAAGCATTATGATTTTGAAGTTGAATTTAAAGATTTTTTATACAGGGAAAAATGTTTAAATAATGTTTATTTTGTAAGGATTTTGAATTCTAAAAAGACTTTAATTTAAAGACTCTCTATCAGCAAAGCTCATTTAAACTGATTCACATGAACATTAGGCATTTTAACCAAAAACATACGTTATTGGTGCATAAATGCATCATGTGATCTGTTTCTTTATTGTTATTTTAGACTGTAAATATTAGAAATTGATAATTTTAAGCTAGATCTCTATTTTGGAAAAGTTAAAATGTGCATCTTTGAATCAAGAGAATGTGGTAAATAAATTTATTAAATAGATATTCTATTTTTTATATTATTAAATTTTAAGTGATCATCTTTTTTTAACACACAATTCTTTTCATGCAGGTTTTGTTGGATGTATACGTAATGTTCACATTAATAAAAGATACTTAGATAGTCGTATGTTATTAAATAGCACTACAACAAGTAGAAAAGTGTATTTAGATAATTGTCAACTAGTCAATCCCTGCAGAAATCCAAATGTTTGTGAACATGGTGGAGCCTGTTTTCTGGCTGATGGAAAAATATCATGTAATTGTAGTAATACTGGTTATACTGGGAAAACATGCCACTTCTGTAAGTAAATCTAATTTATTAGCCATATTATCATATTAGTTTTACTATAGCTGGAATTATTAACAAAATGACTTACAAACAACCTTGCACACTTTCCAGCTGTGTAGCATTTTTTCTTCTATACCAAATTATACATTAAATCAGTGGTTCCCAAAGTGTGCACCGTGGCTCCCTCACAGGGATGCTACAAAATATAAAATTTTCACAATTATACTTCCATTTTCAATTCAATGTGATAAGATGTGAAATCTAGCAGACCTGGTGCAAACCTTAAGTGTTTTATGGTACCAAACAAAAACTTTTATCAAGTTATCACTTGTAGTAACAGAATACAAAGCTTTAGGTCTGGATATCTCAAGATGTCATTTTTGCTACATATCAGGTTCTTGCATGCATTCACAGAATTAGAATATATGCATTAAATTTCTGTTTGATTTGGAAAGTCTGAAGAAATTTTATGAACAAATCCAAAAAACATTTGTTGAAAACAAAGGATTTGGTACTGGAATGAAAGGTTGGTTATTTGAAATGAGTTATTCTCCAGCTGGTTTCAACAATTTGAACTTATGACAATGCATGTTTTTCATTTGAAATTTGTAATGCTTGTTAAAAGATTCATCAGTAACAGAGATAAAAATTTTAATTTATCAATTAATTTGGAACTTTTTAAATGTTTTTCTTTCGAGGTTAATTAATAAGTAAATTTTTTACATGTTAGATGATACCACAACTCCAAACAAGGAATTTGATGGCTGTTATTATGGTAGATTGATGATGATTACTAATAATCATTGAAAATCTTGAATTCAGAATGTCTCAAGTTCCTTTAACCATCAATTCTATGTAAATCAAATGTATTATTGTGTTAATTAAATATTTACATTTCTTAGAATTTAGAACAATTTACAATTTGTACTGCTGAAAATAAGAGGTAAATTCTGAAAACATTGTTGAAAAATTTCTGGACTTTTTGGTGAAGATTTGGGTTCATGATTAAAGGATGAAAACATTACAGACAACTTGCATTTGAGATGTTGGGAGTCCTGGATGTACAGTACATGTTGCATATGTACATTTTGCCTGGCACCACACTTGTAACATTTCCATTCCATTTTAACTTCACCTGATACATTAGAGTAACCAAACTTTAAAAAAATACTTACACTGTATCTCTTCATTAGGTGAACCACTTAAAGTTTACATTTTGTAGACTTTAAGTGGTTCACCTAATGAAGAGATACAGTGTAAGTAAATTTTAGAACAGAATAAAACAAATTTGATAATTAAAAAAAAAAATTACCCACAGCATTTAGTTTTATTGACCATTGTATAGCATCACTTCTATCATAAAACATACATTTTTATTTAGTCAGTACAATGATACAATGATCAATTGTTTTAATATACTTAAAATTCTCTTGCTTCAAAAGGTATGTTTTGAAGAACTCTTTTCCAAAATCTTGGATCAACCCAGTCACTTGTTACAAAATTGAGCTTCAAGTGATTTGTATTGCTTTCATGTGGTTAAGAGTTAAAAATTGGACTATTAAGACAAGTTATCACGATATTCTATCTTTGGCCACAAACTATGATCCTCTAGAACAAATTCGAGTCATCATCGTACAGATCAATTCCACTATACAGTGGTACCTCAGGATACGAACGCCCCGGCATACGAAATTTTCAGGATACGACACAAAATTCGAACATATTTTTGCTCCACGATACGAACAAAAACTCACCATAAAACATTACATTAGTTCTCAGTGCCATTTTTTATTCACTTCTCTTCGTTGGTCTCAGTCTGCATGTTTGCTTTGTCATGGAAGGATTTTGCTTGATAAAGGAAATTTTGAGGTATTATCAGAAAGTGACTGATTTTATTGAAAAGAAATATCCCGAAAAGGTTCACACTGGCCGTATTGCTGCTCGGAGTAATGACATTTGCCTAAGTCATTTTAGAAACATTTTAAAAAGTAGGCAAAGCCAAACCCCTCTTTGGATAGATATTTTACCAAGCGACCTCTATCCAGTGAAAGTGCTGGTGGAAGTGAAGGAAAGAAAGCAAAAAGAGTGAATAAAAATTAAAAAAATAATAAAAAATAAAACAACACTAATTTTTTTATCTTTTCTAAGTTATTTTTAAGTTATTGTTACATTTTGTTATGTAAGTTAAGTTTTAGTACCATTTCCCTTCTCCCTCTCTTCCGCCACCAAATTAAAACCTCCACCGTCGTCTATCCTCAAAGATAAAGTGCAAATAAAACTACATTTTTTTTTAATCAATTATTATTCTATTACGATTATTTATACAATAAATTGCCAAACAATCACCTAAATATCGGGCTATTATATGGCTAATTAAATGATTAGAATAAAGTAATTTGTCATTAGAGGTAGGCGTTAGGCACCATCTCTTAAGTAAATTAATAATTAAAATTAAATAAATAAATTATTAAATTAATTTTAGAACCTTCTGGAATAAAAGAACTGGTCCGGGACGGGGCTTGAACCCGCAACCTCCTCTTGCCGTGCAGTGCGCTTGCCAGTTACGCCACCCAGACCCCGAGCGAGTCTTCGCTTCCAGAAGTATATTAGATTGGATATAACCTTATTTGGTTAAATACATCACTGACTGGGGACGACTTCATCGCCCACAACCCCAATGGCACTCAGCCAACTAACGTAACACCTGGCGAGGTATATATATATATATATATATATATATATATATATATATATATATATATATATATATATATATATATATATATATATATATATATATATATATATATATATATATATATATATANGTGGGTTCAAGCCCCGTCCCGGGCCAGTTCTTTTATTCCAGAAGGTTCTAAAATTAATTTAATAATTTATTTATTTAATTTTAATTATTAATTTACTTAAGAGATGGCACCTAACGCCTACCTCTAATGACAAATTACTTTATTCTAATCATTTAATTAGCCATATAATAGCCCGATATTTAGGCGATCGTTTGGCAATTTATTATATATACTATTCGGGCTTTGGGTTGTTGTTGATTATTTATACATTTACAACTACAAAACGCATTTTTCAGTGTTTTCCTTACTATAGTTTTTTTTTTTTAATGTATTACTTAGCTTTAATTTGAGTGTGTTTTTCGTGTTGGAATGAATTATTTGATTTTACGTGTAATCGTATGGGGAAAAATGTTCACCTTACGACATTTTCATGATACGATCTCAGTGTCGGAACGGATTAATTTCGTATCCTGAGTTACCACTGTACTTTAAAATTTTACTTCTGTACCAGTCAGTGTCTTGACTAGTAAGAGTTGTTAAATAACCTATTTAAAAAATCCAGCAGTGCACTGTGTAACTTTCCTGCTGTTATGAGATCTAAATTAAAAAGTGAATTTTATATCATTAAACATAAATAAATTTGCATGTGGCACCATTAATGAAATTTTGTTATTAAAAACCTTTTATATTTTTAGTTATTATAAAATGGAAAAAGGCTTAATTTTGAGGGGAGAGATGAATTTTATAAAAAATTGTAAATGTTAATAATGAGTAAAATCTTCATTAAGTCCCTTAGAACCTACTTGAGATATGATTTACAATCTCCTTGACCTTTAACTACAAAAATTTAATATCATTGCTCTCTCTAGTATAGTGATTTTCAACCTGTGTGCCATGGGAGGATTGTAGCTGTGCTGCAAAAAGTTTTGAAGGTTATTAAACAAATTATTTTCGAAAGAAGTTCAAAGAACAATAAGTGTACATGTCAAAATTAAAACCTCTTTACCTTGATTATACAAGTTTTTTGTTGTTATAATAAATATATGTATACATAATGTAGTAGAAATATATATTCATAAGCAAAATTATATGTGCATAACACTGGGTTAGTTCATTTAAAATGAAATTTTCTTTTAATCAAAAATGTATCTATAATTGCCCATGTTCGGTTCAAATTATTTTAACTTAGAAATAGCGGAACGTTGGACAGGTTCATAAAGGCAATTATCATGTCACTTTTAAATGCAAATTAAGACTTAATGTTAATTGCTTTTCTTATGTAAATGAAAATTATTAATTTAAATAACTATTGTTGTAATCTGCTGCTATTTTAAGGATGAACAATACTGTTTTATTTAATTCACAAAAATATAGACAAAAAGAATTAGGTTAAGTGGCAAGTGTAATGTGATGATAGAATGTTTTTAAACAAAACTTTAAATCGTGATTTATCCCAAGGAAATTTTTGCTGTGGAAATTTAATTATAGGTTCAAGTCTGCTGTGAGATGAAAAAAGTTGAAAACACTGCTCTAATATAAAAATCTCCTGCAAAATATCAGAAATTTTTGACAAAATTCATGGGAATTAAGCTTTAAATTGGGTGACAAAAATCAAGCCCACTACACACAAACACATCCATACATAAAAAAAAATTCTCAAATTTTTTTTTGCATATCTCAATGTTTCAAGGTCCTGAGTCTAAAACTATAAAATGTTTCCATACTTTTTCTCTGTTATATATAACAGAGCCAGGAAAGTGAAATGCATATTTTGCCATCTACACGTGATAAACGTTCAGAAGCAAGCCAATGCATCTCCACAAACAGAACTGCACATATATGGTACAGGAGATGGAATGATGATAATTTGGTTATGTGAGATGATGTTCTTGCAAGTTCTCTATTTCATGAATTGGCATTTATTATTTTATTTAGATTAATAAAAAATATAATGTTACTTGCAATTTACTCTTTAGTGTTAATTTACATATTATTATGACTACATTTTCAGCAATTAACCGACGTTCGTGTGAAGAGCTATATCTTCTTGGTTATAGAAAATCTGGAGTATACACTATAGATATTGATAAAAATGGACCTTTTCCACCCAGTAATGTTAAATGCAATATGGATGATGATAAAAATATAATTACAGAAATTGAAAATAATGTTATGACAGAAATGGTATGATTATTTTTATGATACTTTTTAATTTCAATTTTGTTAAAGTTTTACTAATTTTAAGAGATAATGTACTTTAAATTTATTTATGTACTTAAATATACTATATGATAGTTATATACTGTATTAATTACAATATTTGAATTATATTATGTTTTTATACAAATTAATATATAATTAAATATATTTAATTCTTGACTTTCATCTCAGTTATTTAATTCATTATTCATTAATATGTTGGTCAACCTGAAGAAAATTGACACATCCCAAAAAAATTGTGTGTCTTTTATTTTTAAATAGAACATGTTTTTTTCAGATGTGTTACTTTAGACTTTTTGAGATAGTATCACCTGTCATATTAAAGAAAAAAACCTATATGTGGCTCAAATTACATTATGGATAACATTAATTGAATATCGTAAAAAATTACATTTTTGAGTTATCACTTTTCTTCTGGATAAGCAATATGAAATAGTAGTAATGATAATATAGTAATATTGACATACATCAAAAAATGAATGTAAAACTGTCTTCTACTGTTATAACTGCTAAAATGAAAACAAGTGGCATCAATATTGTTTATTTAAGATAATGTGAATATTTTTGATATTTACATTGTGTTCCAAGCACTTGAAGAATATAAATAGAATAAGCACTTAATAGCTTTTGAATTTCTACATTCTTAACATTTTAGAAAGTATTTGTAATTATACCTTGAAATACATAACTTGTGTTTCTTATTTTTATTTTAGCAGTTATAACACTATAAGACAGTTTAATACTGGTTTTTAATATTACTTTTCAATAAAACAGTTTTATTTTATTAACTAACTTATACAACTAATTACAATACACTAGAACTGCCAGCTAGTATATACTAACTGGAACTGTGATTTCCAGTCATTTTGAATTGTTTTCATAAAAATTTTAAAAAACTAATATAGGCATATAACTTATCTTCATTAATTTCATTATTAAAATGTTGACACTTAATTTTTTGTTAAAATATAATTTATAATCTAAAAATGTAACAGAGACTAAAAATATGTTCACTTTTTGCCATGTCCAATCACCAAAAACAACTGTCTTCCACAGCAGAGATAACCTTTCTTTAAAGGCTATGCTTCTGCAAAAAAAAAATGCAAAACAGTCTAAAAGTTCACAGGTGACAATCCCAGCACAATTAAAAATATAATATTTTATTTATAAAAAAAAGGTTGACAAATTTACAATTTAAAAAATGTAACAGAGACTAAAAATGTCTTCACTTGGACATGGCAAAAAGTGAAGACATTTTTAGTCTTCACTTTTGGGACAAAATTATCATTATTAAATATATACGTGAATCTAGTCTTGTGTTTTTTTATTTAAGTGCATTTGTTGTATATTCTAGAGGACTGATGCCCAAACTATAGCCCCAGGCCAAATCCAGCCTGTGGCATGTGCTAATCCAGTCCAAGAACATGTTCAACACATTAAGGTAAACGCACCGGTAGTGGACACTGCACGAGTAGTGGACACTTTGAACTTCAAATATGAGTAATAAGGTTGTAGATGGCTTCACTGTTCAAACATACAAATCATTCAGTAAACAGAAGTTCTGTCTATTGAATGCTTTGTATGTTTGAACAGTGAAGCCATCTACAACCTTATTACTCATATTTGAAGTTCAAAGTGTCCACTACTCATGCAGTGTCCACTACCGGTGCATTTACCTTATATATAAAAATAGTAGAATTTGGTATATATGGAATATATAAAATATTTGTGACCCATTTACCTGCAACTTGTGCACAATTTGTCCAATCAATTGAAAAGTTTGGATACCATTGTTCTCGAGCAGTGTTTCTCAACAGGGGCGATATCGCCCCCATGTGGGCATTTTTCCATGTTGAGGGGCTATTAGTAATAATTTATATTTTGGGGGCGAAAAACAATTTTCTGAGCAATATAGTAAAACATTATATTAAGAATAATTAGATATTTTATTCATTATATCGTACAATAATTAAACAAATAACATTATACTAGTCACTAATCTATTCAATGCAGTACGAATTTGGCATTAGCATGTCCCTCAGCATCGGAATTTTGTAGTGAAGGTGGTGATACTATGTAACGGTTTTATTGAAGGGGGCGACGATTTGTTAGAGGTTGAGAAACACTGTTCTAGAGTATTATTACTTTTTTTTTTCCTGAATTTGAAGATAATTATTTGAGGTGATCAAAAACTTTTATTTTTTAATTTTGTCCTACATATTAGGTAAAAGATAAAGATATATTAAATAAAGTTGATATATTATGTATATTAGATATATTAGTTAAAGTTGAATGTATTTCTTTGAAATATTTTATCTAGTGTATCCTTCTTATTTTATCAAAAAATGCCTTTATTATTTATATTCTTATTTCTCAAAAAAGTTAGAAATAAGTTTTTTAAGATTTGTTGTTCTGAAATTCATTATAGAGTTGTTACTTTCTATTGTTTCAGATATAATAATTTCTAAAATTTTACTAGCATGAAATTAACTGATACTTTATTTAAATGTAGATAGCAAGGAAAAGTTCAATGGAAGATTTTTATGTTGATATTACATATCGGGATTTTACATCAGAAATGCTTCAACATTTCGTTTCAAAATCTAAAAAATGTTCTCAAAAAATTAGATATGAATGCTATAAAGTTCCATTTGGGTATGTTAAGTTTTATTTAACTTAGATATCATGTGTTACTTTCTATTGTGAAAGAAGAAAACTGAATAGATTATATTGCATCAACATATCATCATTGTGCTGCTAAAACCTTTTAAGCATCAAAACCAAACTTTTACAGGAATCAAAAACTATAGCATAAATAGGTAAGCATGAAATGTGGCATTTCTGGAGAGGTAATAACAAAATCAATTTTACACAAAGAAGGCAAAATAAAGTAATGTTGATGACCAGCAAAAGAAGTTAAACTGTCACTTAAATGTTTTTCATCTACAGCCTGTTTGTTCATTATGGTATATACATGGTTTTATGAAAAGGTCACAACCATAAGGCTGTGAATGTTACAAATACAGCAACATAACAAAACAACATATTGTTTTAGTCTTGTTTTATTAGAGTAATTATATCTCCAGATAACATTACATTACATAACATCTAGAGCATAATACCCATTTAGAGCAGTAACAGTATAATAAACAACTACAGTTATTGTTTTGACATTAGTGTGGCAAGTTGTCATAGTATGAATGGCACGTGTAGCAGTTTTTGTAAATGCTTGAACTCTTAGGCTGTGTACACACTAGGCGTTTTGCGTTGCGTTAAACACGCGTTAGCAGCGTACACACCAGGCATTAGCTCAGCGTTAGATGAGCGTTTAGTGGAGCATATGCACTGGCTCAGTTTGGAAATGGACGTGAAATTAATTGCTTGTGTGCCCCTCCTCCATCGTCACTATAAAAGACGATGGCAGAGGCAAAGAGAATTTTGGGTGCACTCAATATTAAGAGATAGACTGACACATGGAATGTTTGCGACGTTGTATCCAAAACTAAGACAAAATAAACCCAAGTTTTTTCATTCTTTTAAAATATCTATAAAATCCTTTGACAATGGTTGGTCTCTTTTAGATTTCATCAATAAATAGATAAGTATTGAAATGATTGTTCTCCATTTCGGCCAACGTACGTCCACTCTACCCGAAAACGCACGATCGAATGTACAGTAACATGGCAGCACATATATCTCAAAGTGCTCGGCTGACGCCTGCAAAACGCGCGTTTTAAGAAAAATCTATAAACGCACGTTTAACACGCACTTGGCCAAAAGCACACGTTTGAGTGTGTACGCCTATCCAGAACTCGTGGTTCGTCAAATGCGCGTTTAAAAACGCCTAGTGTGTACGCAGCCTTACTTGATATTTTCAAATAAGAAGAATACATATGGGGCACAAAAGTTGATGCATCTTTCCTGATTTTCTTCTTGGTAGCTCAGCCCAATCATTACATATACACAACTTACAGTATAATTCCTCTTTTAGAGTATATTTGATTGAAACAACTTTTGTCACAGCATGGTTACTTGTAGAATTGCCTGGCCTAACAGAAGACAAAAACCTCAGTTTACTGTAATCTCCAAAAAATTAATGGTCAAGATAATGAATCTGATATGGTAGGTCTGGTCTTGTTTCTTTACAAACAGAGCTATAGTCAGAGATCAGGATAATTCCTCTGTTTTCAGTTTTCTTTATTGTACTATAGATGTTATAAACTTCCATCTCAATGTGTCCTTTCTCTAAGAAATATTGGAAAACAGTAACATTTTTTTCTAAACCCAATTTTAACAAAGCATTACTCAAAACCACATTTTGGTTTTGATATGTGCATCCATCACTATAAAAGACGAAGTCAATCAGAATTTTCTTCATTTTTGTATTAAGGAAATCAATTGTGCCTGATGCAAACAGTCAAACCATACTAACTTTTGTTTCATTCATATCAAGACACATCCCTGGTTGCTATTTTGAGTAATATTGATATAAAGTTATGAACACAGAATTTAATTGTATAGTATAAGGCACATGCCTTTAACATTGATGCAAGTTTGACAGCTTGAAGATCCATTGTATAAATTGCTCAATTCTCCTAATGACTGCTTCTTTATCCCTAGACTTCTGCTCTTTCATTTCATTTCATTTTTTTTTTTTTTTGGCTGATGCTTTTTGTAAACTTTATCTGACAAATAAGATAGACATACATCCTATTGATCTTTTCTTGGCTGAAATAAACCCAGGTTTTGAGACTTAAAGATATCGAAGAACATGTTTCTGCAAACAGGCATTTTATTTTGTTCCTGGCATTTGATAACTTTTACTGCTCATATTTCAATGCTCTGACTGGTCGTAAGTACAGTTTTGATGTTGATGGGTGAGGGCATTTTTGGTAACTGTTTCAGAAACATGATTACAAATTCTCTTTTATAGCTTTTTTTGCTGCAGCCATGGGCTTTGAGATCTAATACACTTTCTCAGTGATGTGTACCCTGCTTGTCTTTCAATACTCAATTGCTAACACACCACTCCTTCAGACCAAATATTGTCAGAAGCATCTTTTTACAAACAGGATGGATGGTACTCTGTCTTTACCAGCCTTATCCTTTTTAAGGCCATGATAAGGCTCTCTCTTACGTTTATTCTGGTTTATGTTCTTGATTCATTTGACTTGGATTTTCAATTCCTCTTGTTTTCTGTTGCCTTCTGAAATTGCATTGTTAGCCACAGAAGTACAGTATTATCATTGGCAGTTTTTTATTTTCATTGCAGTTGTCTTCCACAGGATCTTGTTCCATCAGTACTCATTTTCACTATCATCCTCATTGCTGGAGGTTTCATCTATGATGTAACTAGATTCAGAAGACAGAAAATTCCCTTCGGCTTCCTCTTGCTCACTTTCTTCACTTGTGCCTTCATCAGCTAACAGAGTACCTGCAATATTATAAAATAATTATAACTATGTCCACAAAATTTAAATTATTCATTTATGTATTTATTAATTTAAATGTCAAGAAGGTCATTCATGTTGTCACATAACATATGCAGGAGAAAAGCAATCATTTTATATCATAAGATTAATTTTGTCTGTTATGTCACTTACAAAGTTTTAGCAGCATGATGACAATATAATTAAGTCAATAATTTCAGAAATTATTATTTTTTATACATTTTATACATAACTCCTGTTTCCATACTTTTAATTATTAATCTATCTAATTTTCAGTTCTTTAAGATATTTTTTAATTTTAGTTTTAGTTTATTTTTGTGTGCAATGCCATGTTTAGTGACTTTAAACTACCTTCCCAACAACAATTTTCATTAAATTTTTTAACAGAAACAAATGTTCATATTCAAACTGGGATTCAAGCCTGTGCTTTGGCAAACTAAAAACAATACTTTAATGCAGTATTTTTCAACCTTGTGTCACAAGAGTGCCTTAGGTGGGTTATGGAAATATTAAATATTTTTTAGAATTTTGAATAAGCTCTTTTTTTAAATTTCATTTATCTCTCATCTTTTTACTGCCAGCCAGCCAAAGAGAGAAGGAAGTATTTACTAAAATGCTGATTGTTGCAAACTTTGCAATATAATCATACCCTTACAAAAGTTGCATGTGTCTATGCATATGTTGGCCATACCAACTTTTTGAAGCTTCTATAAACATTTCAGCTTTATGTTGGCCATACCAACTTTTTGAAGCTTCTATAAACATTTCAGCTTACCAGCTTAAAGACCTATACTAGCTCTTTATGCATTGACTTAAATAGTCTGTTTATTTTTATAATATATTTGCAAAATTGCAAGTTTTTGCCTTGTTAAGTTTAACTTCTGTATTATCAAGTTTTAAAAATAAATCATAATTTATTAAACATTTTTATTTTAAAAATTATCATGTGTCACAAGAATTGTATTAAATTCAAAGTTTGTTACTAATCCAAAAAGGTTGGGAAACACTGCCTTAATGCATTCATTGTCAGATTGGTAAGCAAGATAGATCAAAAGTAATATGGACAGTTTTTAGTTTGAACAAGCACAGGAGTTAAGCTTCAAAGAGGGTGAACAAAATCATGCCCCTCCACACACACGCACACACACACACACACACACACACATCCATACAGACAGTAAAAAGCCTCAAATTTTTTTTGCATTTCTCAAAGTTTCAAGGTCCTGAGTTCAAAAATGTAAAAATTTGGGGGGTCATTTTTGACCAATTGCCATACTTTCCCTCAATTTTAACCAATTGCCATACTCCCCATCTATATAACAAGAGTCAGGGAAGTAAAATCAATTTTTTAAACTGAAAATGGCAGTAAACTTAGCACAAACAATTATTTTTCTTAGAATTGTGCGAATTGCTTTAGAAAATTTAATGTATCACAGCATTTTCTGTGAAACATAACAAAAACATTCATAGTTATAATGGAAAAGTTGTTTTATCATTAAAAAGCACTTCTATATAGGCTGAAACTAATTTAGTTTGAATAACACCTTAAATACTTTTTTAGTAATACTTTATTTAAATGAGTGTTTCAACCTCTTTTCATAGATCTGCATCAGGTTTAACAAGAAAATTCGAACTGTCCTCTTAAACAATTCAAATCTTTTTGTTAAACTTGGCACAGACCTATGAAAAGGGATCAAAAATGCTCATTTAAATACATTAAAGTGTTGCTGAAAAAAATATTTAAGGTGTTGTTCAAGCATTTTACTCATTATAAACATAATAAATATTAGAAACAATTTGATATAATATATTTTCGATTAAAATATAATTTTGTTTATATTTTAAACTGTTTTGCAGACACTTAAATATTTTTGTTGACCACCAGCCTCAATTTGAAATTGCTGGTCAAACCGACTCAATATTGGCCTGGTGGGAAACTAATGTCACACTATCTCCCCTAAAATGGGGACAGTTAGTACTGACCAAATGCAATCTCTTGCTACTCTGACTACATGGAAGAAAAGTTTGCTATGACAGACATCAATCACCTCATATATGGGTGTCGTGTACTCTCTGCTTTGGCAATGTGAACGTTTCCAATAAACTAATACTTAATTATTAATATTGTAATTTAAAAAATTTTTTAATCTTTGACTGAAACAAATAATTAATTTTCTTTTGTTAAATGTGAAAGAATTGTTTTAA